AGGCCACCGTGCGCACGTCCTGGTGGAGCAGGGCAGGGAAGGCGGCCATTTGACCGTTGGCCCACGTGGCGCACACACGCTTCTCTTTGAGCTCCACAGCATTTCGCACAGCTCCTTTTGAGCAATGCCCTGCACAGACGAGTTACTCCAAGTAATCCCCAAATGTTCCGATTGCGGAAGCACAAAATCCACAGAGAGCAGAAATCCAACAGGCATCTCCAAAACCACACGTAGTGGGTCCAGGGGCTGCATTTTCAACTGGAACGGCCCAACACAGAGTGGAAAAGTGTATGCCCGAGGCCCACTGGTGCCTTGATGCACCGTTGGGCAGCAGCAAACAGCTGTGGCACGTGGGATGGGTGAGCGCGAGCTGCCCATTGCCACGGCTGCTCTGGCAGTGATGGGGGTGGAAAGCTCAGTGTGGGTGATATATCCCAAGGAGGTGCTGATCAAATGGCAGGAGACTCACAAGGAGAGCAGGGAAGCCATGGCAAGGCGAGATCGCGTGCTGGGGAGAGCCCTGAAACAGCACAGATGGCTGGAGGGTGTCTGCATGGGTTTTGGGGGTGGTCTGGTTTGGGGGTCTGGGCTGCGAGGGTGGGCAGGTGGGAGCAGCTTTCTCTTTGCCTTGCCTTTCCCTCTCACAGCTCCTTGGAGAGCCAAGCTGCTAGTCAGGCCCACATGCTGGATGCGTTCCCTGCTGCCAGGCCGTTGCACGGGCAGCTGATGCCCTCTCCTGCATTCAGCGAATGGTGCTGGGTCGTCCCACTCGTGGGGCTCCTGCCAGCTCGCACATCTGGCCCCATGGCAGCTGGTCCTTCTCGAGGGCCACCCGTGGGTCCTGCCCCACAGCTCAGCCCCGGCACCTCCACTGGAGCCGGGTGTTTCTGGCTGCAGCAGGATGATTTGCTGTTGGTCTCTGCATCTGACCAGCTGCTCCAGGGTGGAGCAGAGCATTTGCCTTGGGATGCTGCAGCCCCTGGGAGGGCAGCGGTGCAGCCAGCTGGGGGGCCAGAGTCACAGGGCTGAAGCCCCCAGGCTGCAGGGCCTGGCAGGCAGTCCCAAAGCTGTGGGTTGGGGAGGCTGCTCTGGGGCTCAGGAAGCATGACAGGAGATGCCAGGGAAGGGTGTGGATAAATGCATGGGGTTACAGTATGGGATGTTTTGGGGCAGGACTAATGTGTGAGGAAAGGCAGGCATCAAGGGCCTTTGGGGAGGAAGAAGTGGGGGAAAATAGAGGGAGCAAGGGATAAAAGGGGCATCCATGGGTGAACAGGCTGCAGTCAGCATGGCCACATAGGCCGGCCAGGGGATAGGAAACTTGGGAGCCCGGGGTCTGTCTGGGGGGGCCATCTCAGGCCAGACACTGGAGGAGCCAGGGAGGCTCAGAGGTCAAAGAAGCCATGAGAGACTCTGTGGGGTTTGGGGTCAGCTCCCAGTAGGGTCTCAGGGCTGGAGCAGTCACCAGAGATCCACCTGCATACGTGTGTCCATGCATGAAGGTCATCCAAGGAGCCAAGACTCCAGGGTGGCTACAGGATAGACTGGGTGTTGTAAGCCAGTTACTAGAGGGATCCATGTAGCATATTACCTATATATGTGCATTTATTTCCCACTAACGGAGCATTACCTTGATCACTAGAGATGAATCATAGAATCATAGAATTATTATGGTTGGAAAAGACCTTCAAGATCATTGAGTTCCACCCTAAGTCCCTCAACACCATATCTGTTAAACCATGTCCCTAAGTGCCTCATCTACACATTTCTTGAATGCTGCCAGGGATGGTGACTCCATCACTTCCCTGAGTTCTCCTGAGGAGGCTCTCCGGAGCCTCCTCTTCTGCAGACTAAATACCCCCAGCGTCCTCAGCCACTCCTCCTAAGCTCTGTGCTCCAGCTCCTTCACCAGCTTCACTGCCCTTCTTTGGACATGCTCCAGCACCTCCAGGTCTTTCTTGTAGCGAGGGAACCAAAACTGAACACAGTATTTGAAGTACAGCCTCACCAGTGCCGAGTATAGAGGAACAATCTGTTCCCTGGTCCTGCTGGCTCCACTGTTCCTGATACCAGCCAGGAGGCCATTGGCCTTCTTGGCCACCTGGGCACCCTGCTGGCTCATGTTCAGCGGGCTGTCGACACCCCCAGGTCCTTTTCTGCCACACAGCTCCCCAGCCACTCTGCCTCAAGCCTGTGCAGGATCCGGCACTTGGGCTTGTTGAATCTCATACGGGTGGCCTTAGCCCATCGATCCAGCCTGTCCAGATCCCTCTGCAGAACCTTCCTACCCTCAAGCAGATCAACTCTTCCTCCCAGCTTAGTGTCATCTGCAAATTTGTGAGGGTGCACTCCATCCCCTCATCCAGATTGTTGACAGAGATATTAAGGAGGACAGGCCCCAACACTGACCCCTGGGGAACGCTGCTCGTGACTGGTCATCAGCTGGATTTAACTTCATTCACCACCACTCTCTGGGCCCGGCCATCCAGCCAGTTTTTCACCCAGTGAAGAGTACACCTGTCTAAGCCATGAGCTGCCAGCTTCTCCAGGAGAAGGCAGTGGGAGACTGCGTCAAAAGCCTTACTGAAGTCTAAGTAGACCATGTCCACAGCCTTTTCCTCATCCACTAGGTGAGTCACCTGGTCATAGAAGGTGATCACGTTGGTCAGGCAGGACCTGCCTTTCATGAACCCATGTTGGCTGGGCCTGATCCCCTGGTTGTCGCACACATGCTGTGTAATCGCCCTCAAGATGATCTGCTCCATAACTTTTCCTGATACCAAGGTGAGGCTGATGGGCCTGTAGTTCCCCAGATCCTCCATCCGACCCTTCTTGTAGATGGGTGTCACACTGACCAGGCTCCAGTCATCTGGGACCTCCCCTGTTGACCAGGACTGTTGCTAGATAATGGAGAGCAGCTTGGCGAGCACTTCCACCAGAACCCTCATGTGAATCCCATCTGGCACCATAGACTTGTGGGTGTCCAAGTGGAGTAGCAGGTCACTGATTGTTTCCTCCTGAATTATAAGGGGTTTCTTCTGCTCTTTATAGGTGTCTTCCAGCTCAGGGGGTCAAGTACCTTGAGGATAACTGATCTGGAAAGTTCAGAGGCCGGTGAGGACGCCCTGCACGCGCTGTGGCTACTGAGGGACGAGGTGGAGAACCCCGGCCAGGACTGGAAAGCCACCAGGTGAGTGCCCGCCACCACCCCTGCAGCCACCACGGCCAACGCGCCATGTGTCCGAAGCAGGGTAGAAATCCCCCCACCTCAGGGGCGAAAAGGGGCCCTTGCGTTTGGGCACGGAGTCCCTCCACTGCAGCCCGGAGATGCCGTGACGGATGGAGGGGACTCCCCGCAGGATCAGCACCAGCACTTTCACCCGGATAAAGTGACAGCCAGAGGGGAAGCCTGGAGAGCGAGGCCACGGCTGCAAGGAGACAGCGTATCCTTCTGCCGCTCACAGCCTGGCAGTGTGGAGCACTTTCATCAGCCCAACACGAACGCTGTGCATTGGGGGGAAATAAAGGGTTTTTGGGGCAGGGAGGAAAAGCAGTTCTTGCCTCTGTGTTCTGCCCTGATTCAAACCCACATGGGGAGGCCCCTTCCCTAGGGATGCGCTCAGGAGGCCACGACATCCCATGGCCTTCCAAAGGAGGCGCAAGCTCCTGTGGGGATGATGCGGCTGGTCGTGGCACCCTGGAGAGGTGCCAGAGGAAACACACAGGG